CAAGGCCTGTGGTTGTTGCTCCCCTTGCCCAAACCATCCATGAACATGCTCTGGTCAGGAATATTTCTAACACACATCAGGCAAAAGCTGCATCCAGCATCCAGTGGGCTGTGTGTGCTGCCAGTGCTTTCCCAGCAAACTTCTGCACACACATGCAGGTTGTATGCTTCAGGGTGAACACATCAGGATCCTGCTGCCTGTCTTCCCTAAACTGGCCATGCAAGTCATCCATGCTGGGGTGATGTCCTCTTCTGGTCACCACTGCCCAGAACTCCCTTCACTCCTCCCCTCAGCTCTGATTGGCATTTCGGTCCTATCATAAGTCTGCCCTGAGCACATGCTCTGTAAACGGGCCCAGGGCCTTCCTAGGACAGACCCAGAGGTGGAATCCTTCCATCAGAGGGCAATGCTTTTAGCTGAGCAAAACTGGCCAACTCCCCCAGAACTTGACACTGCTCATCCACCTCAGGGGTGGCATGTGGTGGCAGGAAATGCTCTCGCCATGGTTTCACTGACATCCCCCAGTAGCAGAGCATCTTATGACAGCTGGCCACCTGTATGCCCTTGCCCACGAATCACCAATTTGGTCGTGACCCCGGGCCTTTGTTTCACTGACCTGTAGCATAGCTGGCATGACGTAGGCATCTGCCTGCCTGTCCCAGGACCAAATTGTTTTCTGCTAGTCTGTCCCCTCCCTTTCAGCTTAGCTGTGGAGCTGCCAAGAAGAAACAGTCTCATCTTACAGTGCGTTTTCCCATCCTCACTACACCCCAGGACCAAATTGTTTTCTGCTAGTCTGTCCCCTCCCTTTCAGCTTAGCTGTGGAGCTGCTAAGAAGAAACAGTCTCATCTTACAGTGCGTTTTCCCATCCTCACTACACGGCGTTCACATGTCCTGTTTGGCTGAAGAAGGCCCTCCCTGTCCCAAAGTGAGAACCCCTTTTCCTCGAGTTCTTTGTACACTTCCATATTGGCTTAGCTCTTGGGTCTGCCTGTCATCTGACTGCATGGATGGTGTGGTGGAACCACCCATGCTTCCCCAATACACAGCCAATTGTCCCAGGTGGTCTACCAGGCTGTCCAATCTGCCCCACCTTGGCCACACCCCGGGCTTCTGGTCACAAAGACCCCTTAGGACCTTGCACATATCACTGGGCCTCTGATGCTTCCATAGTTACCTGAGCTTCAGTGCACACTCTGGTGTCTGGAGGGTACATCTCCCTCTTGGCCATTCACAAAAGCTTCTAAAACCATGGCTAGATCATGTCATGCCCCAATCCCTGCTCACCATGCCAGGTGCTAAGTGGGTGCCAGAGTTGATGAAATAACACATAAAGGAAGTCTGTAGCCCAGAACTGGAAGCCAGCCCATGCCCTTCCATTGTGTGTGCACACACGGGAGCAGCAGGTGGCAGCAAATGGGAATAAGCCGCAGCCCCTAAGGCCACAGGGAGGTCCCAGCTGGGAAAAAGCACAGGCTCGGTCCTTCATACAGAGGCCAGAGATAAGCAAAACCATCCACAGGGACAGAAACCAAGGCAGGGCCAGTCTAGGGGACAGCTGAGGGACATGAGGGAGTCATCTGGGTGTTGCAGGTTGCTTTCCATGCCTGAGGTGGATGCTGTTGCATGGCTGGGCTCACTTTGTACGATCCATCGAGCTAGACACTAGAAATGTGTGCACTCTCAGCAGGCATGTTTTATGGCAGGGGAGATTTATTATCCATCCCCAAAAGCTGCCATCAGAAGAAGGTGTACAGACTCCATCCTCCATCCCCTGCTGGTTTCCTGATGCTTCTACAGGCGGGGCAGGTGAGGGGAGGAAAGGTGGGAAGAGCCTGAGTGAGTTGCCTGTTCACAGGAGACTGGATGAGGACAGGTCAGCCCTGGTGCAAAACACCTTGGCTTAGGATGGACCACAGTTGTGCGGTCTTACGTGTTGCACAATGCCACCCACTTAAGTAGAGAGAAACACCACACCTTGTGACCTTTGGGATGGTGAGGTGACAGGCCCGTGCTCTTGGAGGAAGCACCTCCTTTTGTCATCTGAAAAGATGAACAGGGCATCTGGGCAGAAGGGAGATGTGCCGAATCAGAATGCAGTGATGACAGAGGCAGAGACGCCCACAAGGGAATGGTGAGGTATTTTTACCAAGACATAGGGCCAAAGGGATGTAGACACTTGGGAAAGTGGAGTTCCTGGTTCCTGCAAGTTGGCCTCTTACCAGAGCTGCAGGAGTGAAGGTTCTGGGCAGAGGTTAACTGAGCCCAACACTCTGCTGCTCTGTTTAATTACACCAAACACTTTATACATTTGGGGAATACGCTTTTAAGTCTGGCCAGCCTGTCTGTCTGGCCCAGAGAGGCCTGCAGAGAGGACAGTTCCCACGGGCTTCTGGAGGGCTCAAGCTGCAGGCTGAGCAGCCAGGAGCCCAGTGCCCATCCTGTGCAGCCACATGCTGTCGCTGTCAGCTGTGGCAGCCTCTGGGGGTGGAGCTCAAAGCATGAGCTGCTCTTTTCACAGGACAGGACAGACACAGACGCATGACGTGAGTTCTCAGCAGCTGTCAGCAGAGGAGGTAAACACACATGGGAACACACTGTCGCTGTTCCTGGGGCCTTGGCTGAGAAAGCCCTGGTGTCTGGAAGTCCTCTGAGCAGCCAGTCTACTGCAATGCCCAGCTCTCTTCCCATGCTAATGGCAACAGCTGAGCAATGTAAGCTTTGTCATTTGGGCTATTAAAAGGCATTTTACCATGACAAATGTCCTACAGTGATACTTTCTCCTTAGATTTTTGCAATGTTTTGGGGGCATTAATTCAGCCTCACACCAGAGTATCATTGTCCCTTCACAGTTCAAAGGAGCAGCTCAAACAAAGGGCACTGTGAGCATGAAAAGAAGCACTGGACACAGGGTGGCCCCTGCACCTGAGGCCCCTTCTGGCAGGAACATTCAGCTTCCCCACAAGCCAAGGACCGGCCCAGCCTCTCAGTCACCTCAACAGCCCAAGCTGTTAACAAAAATGAAAAAGGGGGCATTCCCTCTAACCCTTCCAAAGAGGGTGAAAGCAGGCACTCCTGAATATCAGCAGGTGCACCAGGGGAGCAGCCGCCAGAAGATAAAGGCCGGCCTTTTTTATTTTTAAGCATGCATATATTATTTTTGCAGTCTAAGAAAGTTCAGAGAAAAAGAAAAAAAAAGCTTGAGGCAGCTCAGTCATTCTGGAGTGATCTTGTTTTCACAGAACTCATCATCAAACCCTGTGGTCGATTTCTCAACACATGACAAGCATTGCCCCTCTTCTAGAAGCCTTCCAGGCCTCCCTGTCTTGGGCCATTTCTCTCCACTCTGGGGTCCCCAAGAGGTCCCTCACCTCTCCACAGATGTTCTCAGAAGCAGCACCCTTGCGCAGGCACCAAGTGCCCTCAGAGCTCACCGTCCGGTGCGGAAACCGGACACAGGAATGAGTCCCCACGACACTGCACATGATTATACCCATCATGAAATGTGATCAGAATGACAGCTCACAAGTGAGGATCCCAAGGAAGCACAAGAGGCTGGCAGCCTATGCAGAGCTGATGGCTGGTCACCTGGTTCGGGGAGGGGCTACCTTCAGCACACATTGGAGCAGGCAGGGGCTCGGTCTGAGGGGCCTGCAGTCCAAGGACATGCAAGTAACATAAAGCTGTGGGACTGGGGATCCATGCTGTAGGGGCCCTACGGGGTGGGAGCACCAGGGTACTCTATCTAGCCCTGCCAGAGCTCTGGGATCCTGGGGGGAGGGGCAGAAGCTCTGCTGTATCCACCGGCCAACACAGTCACCCTCTTCAGCTGCCCCCACTCCACCCAACAGGTCATCTGATTTAGGAAGGCTCCTGGGAGAGGGCCCCAGAAGGAACAGAGGCACTGGAAGCTGGCCCTGGCTCTGAACAACCTTGGGAATACCATCTGCCTCCTCAGCCTGAGTTTTCTTTGCTGTGAACAGGGTTGGGCCAATGAACACTCACCCCAAAAGACTGCCCAGAGGATTAACAAGCAAGTGCGAGAAAGCCTTCCAAAGTGCTACCCAGCTGCCCCTTATAGCCGCCATCACATCCACCTCAGGGAAGAGGGCTCTGAGCCCAAGAGTGGCAGCAAAACAGTGGTCAGCACGCCCAGCCACAAGACAGGCCTGGCCAGTACTGAGCATGTGACCTTTCAGCCAGAGAAAGGGGGCCTGAGGCTCAGGGACTTGTCCAAGGGCAGACGGTTCATACTAAAGCTGTAGCCCAGCAAGAAGCCAGTAAGCACAGGAGAGGTGCTAGAAGACAGGGAAGGGGGTCTCAGCAATGGGCCCTTCCTACCCACTCCCCAAGAGGAAAATAGGGCAAAACCCAGGCTGCTGCAAAGCCCAGCAGTGAGGCCAGGTCTGACTTGAATGCAGTCCTGCCCAGCCTCCACCCCTGATGCCCTTGGGGTGGGAGCGGGGGTGGAGGTCTGACTACCCAAGCCATCCAAGGAAGACCGAATTCAGGTGAAAGGATGACCCAGCACTTACTTCCTACTCAGACCAACATCGGCCGCAGGGAGGGGGCAGCATGACTCGGCTCCAGAGCTGTCCCTGATGCTGGCCGAGGCACCCACCCTGCAATGACCGTGCAGCTTCCAGCCCTGCCAGTCTCACCCTCCCCGCACCGCAGCGAGTCTGGCCCTGCCTGCCCGTGTCCCCCACAACACGTCCCAGCGGGGATCATAGCAAACGCTTTCCAGTAACGCGTGGGGCGCTTTCCTTGGCCGGGGTAGGTCTGGTCTCCCTGGACCCGACAGAGTCCCGAGCGCGGCCTTTTGATTTCCATTCTAAGCCTCAGAAAGGGGAAACTGAGGCAAGACGGGAAAGTGCGGCCTGCCTCGCCCTCGAGCATCCCGATCCTGTACGCGTCCACGGAGCCCGGTGCCCACAAGCCCGGGCCAACCCCGCCAGGAGCTGAGTCCCCCGGCCCGGGCCGCCGGCCGCTCACTCACCGCCTCCGCCACCGCCGACTTCCGGGTGCCGCGCCCGCTCACCGCAGCCGTCAGCCCAGGCCCCGCCCCTCCCACCTCCGGCGCGCTCGCTATTGGGCCGCGCGGCGAGGGGCGGTACGGCGCTCTGCAATCCGGGTCCCCGTTGGCTGGGCGAGCTGTCGCTCGGGGGCTGCAGCCCTCCCTGCTCCCCGCCCCCGGGGCTGCGCCAAGCCTCAGAGCTTCGCAGACGTCTGGGCGCCTCTGGACGCCCTTGGCCTTCTTGCCTCCCCCTCCTGCGGGGCCACCTTCGGGAGGTCACGCCGCACTGAGCCCATGCCCTCGCGATTACCACGCCATCTGCCCACCTGCAGCCCTCTCTGGAAGGTCTACAGGGATGCTCACTTCCAGACCCGTCCTCCTAAGGCTGGGTCCTGGTCTCCCCATCCCTATCCACCCAACGCGACCTCTGGACCTGGCCATCCTACCTCCTGGACATCCCTCCCGTCACTCTATGGCCCCCAGCTCGGTCCAGCCTCTGCCTCTCTGGCCCTCTCCCCCCTGATGTCCCTGGCATTCCTAGGATGGACCCCAGACCCTGGACCAGGCACTCCAGCCCTACCCCTGCCACTTTAGCCTTTGTGCCCACATTGGGGTTGTTCTTCAGGTCCGGGCCCCACGGGTGAAGGGCTGGCCCAGTTTGAGCTGCGCTGGATGAGTAGGTGGGCACTGACTGGGGCTCTCCCAACAGGTCAGAGGCATTCACTGGGTTTCCTGCCCCCACTGGCCTCTGGGCTGTGCCTGGAGCCTGAGTGCCAGGGAGGTGGAGTCAAAGGCCCAGAGGCCTAAGGCCTGCTCCAACGTGAGCACTCAGAAAACTATGACAAGAAAATTGAGGATATTGATAAGGATAATGATAATCCGCTGGATGCTCTAAAATCAGTGTCTGGGTCCATAGTTCTCATCCACCCCACTTTACAGATGTAAACACTGAGACTTACAGCAGTTATGTCATTTGGTTGAAGTCAAAAAACTTGGCAAGTGGCAGTGGCTGGATTATTTCCACAGCCCTGCATGGAAGACCCAGGTGCCCTGATCCTGACCCACAGTGCAGATGCTCTATGGAAAACAGGCTTGGAGGCTTGGAGAGAGGTAGGGCCTGGCTGGTAATCAGCAAAGGCTAGTCTAACCGATCCTGCCCACTGGCCCATTCTGCCCCACTCTTTCACTGTCTCATCTACATTCCTCCTGGAACTCAACCTTTCCTAGCCAACAGGCTAGGAAACTGAGAACTCCAGATGCCCAGGTGGTAGACTCAGCTAGACATGCAGTTCTCCTTCCCGCTACCTAGGAGCATAATCGTGCTGGGCCGGTGCCAGTGATTTTCCTTTGAGCAGCCAGACCATGTGGTCCAGAACAAGAGATAGTGGTGTTTGCCATGTGGGACTTGGTGGAGGAGTGACTGTGCCCTGGGTTCTGGGGCAGCAGCTACAGAATGGTCTACAAAGAACCAGGCCATGAACCTCAGAGTGGGACAAGGATTGTCCAAGCTTTCCTATTGCCCACAAAGAGGAATACAGTAATGTATCAGATAGTGGTTCAAGTCCAGCTCTGTTACAGACAGCATGTGGCACTGGGCCAGCCCCACCCCCAGCCATGCTCTCCCCAGCTAGACAGAGCCAGATCAGACACTCTGATGTTCTCTCTCTCCAGTGACTCACTCCAGTCTGGATGACATATGGTGCAGGGGAGCTGGCAAGAGCAGATGAGATGGGTCTAGGACTGCAGGGGAATCACTGCCATCCTCTCTCTAATTGCACACATCCTCAGACAGGGAACTCACTACCTCTGTGGCCACTCTTGGTTTCTGAACATCTGTGACTGTTGGAAAGTTCTTCCTGATATCTAGTTGAAAGTTTTTCTCCCCTTTGGCTTTTCCTCTGTGCCCCCAGGGCTGCCCTACAAAGCTGGCCAGCAGCTGGGTGTGGAGGATGGGAGAGAGGGAGGCTACTGGCCCCTGTGGTCTCCCCTGCTCTCTGTTTCTGACCCCTGGCTGCAGCATGGCGGGCCAACTGCTGGTCAGTGCCCTGAGTCCTGTCAGAACTGGTGCTGCCTACCCTGATCCTTTGTATGTAGCTGGTGATCCAGCTTGAGGGCAGACAGGGCCCAGAACCCTGTGGGGAGTAGGGGTGGGGATGACAGGGGAGGGAGTCCTCAAGTGGGCTGGTTCTGGTGAATGATTCTGCCACTTGCTCTTTTATGCTCTTTTAGCAGAGGTCTGTCTAGCCCTCCTTGCCACCATCAGCAAGTATGGGAGGGGGTGGTGTTGTGAGAAGAGAGGCTCCAGGAGTGCCAGGGTGCCATGCCCTTGAAGAGATGCATGGGAGCAGAAGGACTTATTAAATCTATTCCTAAATGGAGGAAATAGAGCCCCCAGCCACACAGCATCTCAGCCAGTATGTCACCAGTAATGCTGTCCCACAGGATGAGAAGTTCACGGGCGTCCCTGTATTCCAGGGAGAGATGCTTCATTCTGCCCTCCCAGAGCTGCAAGCAACATCCCTACACCAGCAAGCCAAATAAATGGCTTTTACCTCAAGTGCCAACTCCAATTGATTGGTAGTGGCTGCCTGGCTCTGAAAGGTTGTGGGCATCGATTTGCTGTGACTGCCAGGGCACAGGTGGACCCAGTGGTGGTATGAGTACTTACCCCAGGCCACTTAGCAATGGACTCCCAACATGGGTGGATAAGACATAGGTGTCTGGTTCCCCCCCACCTGCCATTAGCAGCGTCGTGGGCAGCTTGGCTCTTTCAGTGGCCTTGGGGAATGCAGCCAGCCGAGGAACTGGTCATCTCCAGGTGCATCCAGAGCAGGAAAGGCTTAGAACCAAGCATGAGCCAGGGTCACTGGCCAAGGGCCCATCTCAGGACACCCCCTCCCCCATGCTAGCCCTACGAGTCAGCATCCCTGCTGGATTCTCCCACATCACACAGTTAAGTGGAGCTGGCCAAGGGTAGGGTCCCATGTGTGCCCCGTGTCACTGCAGAAACGAGGTTGGTGCTCTTAACCTGGCAGGGAAATGCAAACTGTGCTAATCTTTTCTCCATGATCCCAGGTAGGATGGAAAAAATAGGACACCAGGATAGGAGGGGAGATAAACGTACAACTCCCCCTCCCCAGGCTGAGAGCTGTGGCCATGGCACGAAGAAGTGAGAAAGAGCAACCACGTGGGGGCCCTGCAGAGTGGGGCAAGCCCAGACCTGCAGGGGGAGGTAAACCCCGTTCTACACAGGGGGTCCTTCCTGCCTTTGGAAACACTCTAGCCCTCACTTCAATCCCCACCCCCCCTTGCTGCGGGGACCCTCGGGAGGTGAGAGTGGCAGAGTCCGCAGACCCCCGGGAGCCAGGTGATTAGATTCAAGCCCCGGTCACCTAAAGCAAGTGAGAACCTCTCTGAACCTCATTTTCCTATCTGTGAAATGGGGATAGCAGCAGAACTCTCTCTCGCAGGTCGTGTGAGGAATATAATCAGATGTAAACAGGCAGGGTGCCCCGCGAACGGCAGGAGCTGGAGAAGGATACCTGCGAACTGGGAGTAGTGATGGAGGCTTTTCCTATCTGTGAAATGGGGATAGCAGCAGAACTCTCTCTCGCAGGTCGTGTGAGGAATACAATCAGATGTAAACAGGCAGGCTCAGTGCCCCGCGAACGGCAGGAGCTGGAGAAGGATACCTGCGAACTGGGAGTAGTGATGGAGGGAACGCGGCCGGAGTCCAGGAAAGGGGTGCCGGCCCTGCCAGTCCCCGCTAGGGGCCCGACGGTCTGGGAACGTCCTCGGAAGGAGGCCGGGAGGGGGCGGCCCCTCGTCCTCGGCCACCTCCGCAGATTTGCTGGCAGGTGCCGGGGCCCCGGCCCCGCGCGAGGGGGCCGGGCATCGGCCCGGACTGACACCCCGGCGGCCCAATGGCAAGACGCCGTCTCCGCGCGCCCGTCCAATAGACGCCGGTTGCTGGGCCGCGCCGGGTCTCCAGGCCAATGGGAAAATTCGCGGTCGAATGGGGCGGGACGGAGGTCTGCGCCGCCTGCCAGGCCCGCTTTGCGCACGGGCCGCGCGAGGGGCGGGAGGGCTGTCCAGCGGGCTGCACTCTGGGCCGGGAGGGAGGGGTCCGGTCCGCCCCCGCACGGGCCCAAGTTGTGGTCCCGCGGACGGCGACCCGCGCCGCGCTCGGGGACGCCGCTGTCTGCCGCCGAGGGACCCG